ATATATACTGTATATATATACAGTATATATATATATACTGTATATATATATAGTATATATGTAAACATATATATATACATATATATGTATAAAACCCAAATCCTACAACCAGAATCAGAGAAAAAGCTGAAAATATTTTTTTTTTTGTTCAATTCAGATAAATAAAAAAAACTCACTTCAGAATCACACAGCCGGTCCCAGCAGGTGGCGCTGTCCAGAACACCTGGATCCTGGTGCGTCTGCGAGGCGTGCTCTCCGTCACTGCAGGAGGACAGTTGGTCATGAACTGAGTGTCGTCCTCGTCGATGATCTACAAACAAACAAACAAACAAACAAACAAACAAACAAGACCAAATTAAATTAATTATTGACTTTCTTCATTCCAGGAAAATACATCAATATTTCAAAATAAAACGTCTTCCAAACTCAAATATTTGTTATTTTGAAAATGAACCAATGCAGAGTGAATTATTTTTTGTCCCACTGCGGACCGTAACCAAAGGACCTACAGACCGGCACCGGTCCCCAGACCGGGGGTTGGGAACCCTTCCCTTCAATTACAGAAATAAGAGGTTAGCTGTAGCACAGGGACACATCGGCATGTAGACCACCAGGGTGTGGAATTAGACGACTAATTGCGACTCTTTGGCCAAAGCCAGGGGGCGCTGTACGTCCTCCTGCCTCGGTCCACAGTCAGACAGTTAGAAGTTCTGAGAAAAAACAACCTCAGCGACAAGAGGAGATAAAAATGGCCGCCGACGTCAGAACACAGTCAAGTTCTCTGTTTCCACAACAACAACAACAACAACAACAACAACAACAACAACAACAACAGTGAGAACAACAGTCAGACTCAGTACTGACAGCAGCAGAACGACACACGGAGAGAAAGGAGCGGCAGACGAGCACAGAGTGAGTGGGAAGAGACTGGCAGCGAGTGTTTTCACTGCTGAGCCTGGTGGTTCTGTGGGTTTGTTCATGATGTGTGAAGACCAAACACACACACACACCGAACACACACATGCACACACACACAGAGGCAGGGTTTTGTGTGTTTGGTGGGCAATTCACTCAGACACAAAACAGACCAGAGTTTCTCAAATACGAATCTTAAAGGTTACCAAAGACAGGGGCGGGGGTGGACATGGTGACGCAACATGGTCTCACACGCGGACGCTACATTTTTAGCAGTCGGGCCACATGCTGGAATTCTAAATCTGTGTAATGTTATATTACTTTACCCAACAGCACGTTAGCATGAAGATGACTGCTCAGTTTCACCTGCTGGTCAAACCATGACACAACATCTCCAACATGTTCAGCTCAGTATTTGAGGACAACCGCCCTGAACCTTTAGCCCAACGCGAGGGCGGAGAAACCTGTTTGGCTCATGGGCTAAAATGAAGTTCAAACCTTCAAAGATAATTTGGCTTTTGATGTCTGACGCCATCTAGTGGTATCAACAGAAATCATGTGTGAAACATAAAGATTGACGAGGCTAATTTACGCTTTACTCACGTATATAACTACATACAGCACATCTGATTCCAACACATCGACATGACTGTTAAACAAAACGTCCTCTGGGGGGCAGTACTCCAGTTTTGCACTCATGTCATGTCCTTTTTTTTCCCCAAATCCTTATGGGGAAGCTAACACCACCTCTAACCTTATGCTAGCCTAATTTTGACCTGTAACCTGATTCCCTCTGAACTGTACACTGAAAGTCAACAGGGACCTCAAAATGTCCCCACAAAATCCAAACTAAAGAAGGTCCCCAGAAGTATAGATAAACATACACACACACACACGGAGAAGGTCTGTAATCAAACCAGCAGCTCCTCAGCTGTTGACTTTTGTGTCTTCTAACAGAGACGACTGACGGGCGGAGAAAAACTCACGTCAGCTCCTGAAGACGACTTTATTTCAGCCACTAACAAACTTCTCTCGTCTGGATAAAAAAAAAAAAAAAAAAAACCCTCGCCGGCGCCGACTTTTGATTTGGCTGCGAGCGGCCCATCCATCACAGCATCACAGTGACTGTTGAATATCACAGACAACTGCGGGCGACGGACAAAAACACTGCATCATTTCACTCTTTGTTTCTGAGCCGCTGAGCCGCAGCCACGGAGTCAGGCGGCCGCACGGGAAGTCACTTCAGACGTGAGCAGCTGCGGTTCCACCAGGGCTGGAAGGGAACCGGACTAAAGGCCGCCTCTGAAGAACCTTCAGGCTCGGCTACAGACCCGAGGAGTTTGGAATTCTATTTGTAAAAGAAAAAAAAAAAAAAAAGAACCCCACGCAGGATCACAGAGGGGTCTGAGAGGAACACAGCTGGAGAAGCGTGGGTTTCTGGGATGACTTTATAATGTATTTGAATTTTTTATCTCTTAAACGAATATTGTTTTTGAGTTTTGGGATGGAATTGGAATAAATGTGTGGAAATGAATCAACATGAAGTCATCAAAAAAAATAATGTCGACTGAAACGAGAAACATAAGGAAACAAGACCGTTACAACGTTTTTATCATCATTAAAGCAGAATTAATCGTCATTAATCAACCCTGCGATTAATCGGATTAAACTGATTAATCGATCGAAAGCCCGACACACACACATACACACACACACACACACACCGTGACTATTCAAACGCAGGAGAAAAGCTAATGTCTTTTAGCCGTTATCTCCTCAGGAAGTGGAGCTCTGTGCAGTGACTCGCTGACGGAACCAGACGCCGCCACCTCCTGCTCACACACACACACACACACACACACACACACACTAATGCATTATGGATTTAACAAATCTAATCAGAACAGACTGAACATCATGTATTCAAAAAAAAAAAGAAAAAAGAAAAACAGGAACGGAGCAAACAAGGCTCACAGAACAGAACAGATAAAAAATGAAAACGTGTCGCAACAACAACGTGGTTTCTCCAGCCGAGAACGGAGATTCTTCATCTTCTTCTTCTTCTTCTGTGTCTGTGCAGCACATCATGTGATCTTAATTGAATCTTTCCCGCTAAAGTAATGGACATGGAGCTAATTAACAGGGAGCGACTCGTGGTTCTGGTTCCTGTCGGCACTGGGATCCATAACAAGAAACGTATTGTTTATTAAAAGAACTGTAAAGCAATGGAAATGATTAAAAGGCTGCAGCAAGTGCAGAGTTGCCACCATCTAAAACCCCGGCCCTGAACATGACACTTTAAACCGATTGGTTGTGTTTATCTCTGGTCAAAGTGACGACGCTCAGATGATCTGTGCAGAACAGAAAGAAACGATAATATCTCCTCTCTCTCTCTCTCTCTCTCTCTCTCTCTCTCTCTCCCCCCCCCCCCCCCCCCCTCCCCCCCCCACCCCATCGGCTCCCACAGCACTGACACATCAGTGGCCTGGATAAATATGACCCGTGTCCCAGACTGATGTGGACGACTGTGGGAAAGACACACAGCTGCACACACACACACACACACACACACACACACATAAAGACGAGTCATTTAAAGTCAACGAGGGCGGAGGAAACATTATTACACCGAGGTGGAGGAGGGAGGGGTCGGGGGTAAATAACGTCTTAGTGAAGCAGCAAACTCTTCCCAGGACAGATGTCAGAG